TAGTTAAATTTTGATAATTATTATTATTGAAAAAATATTCATTAAAATTACGAAAATAATCGTTTAATTTATTTGTTAAAATTTGATTATTTTTTAATTTACTATTTTTTGCTAACAAATTAATTGTTTGCAAATAATCGGTAAAATTTTCACGTAATTCTGGGAAACGTTCGGCCAAACCATCCATACGTACGGCTAATGGATTGCATAGTGTAAGCCCAGGTATGTAATCAGTTTTCAGACGTCTAATACTGATTGTGATTATGGTTTTACCTTCAAAATACTGGTGCAATAGTATACCCGAGCTATAGATGAGTAGTGATGTGCAGATAATATACATAAATGTTTTATAAATCAGATATTTTTTCTCATTGTTTGATAGTCGTGTCCAATAGTTGCCACTTTCAACCCAATTATTATTATTATTATTATTTTTAACTGTTAACGCCATAACTATTAATAGTTTTTATTTTTATTTAAATTTAATTAATTAATGAAAATTTTTAGTAAAAAATATTTATACTATTACTATTTAAAAACTGTATTTTTAAAAAATACTTGAATTTTTATTTAACTAAAATAGAACCCAGAATTCTAATACTAGTAATAAAAATTTTTATTACTAAATATTTAATAATTAATTTTATTATATATAAATTATTTTTATTTATTTTTTAGGTGTTTTTTAAAATATAACAAAAATCGTATTTAATTTAACTATCAAATAAATTAATTTTTCAAATTAAATACGATTTTTTTTATATTTTTAATAACGCCTAAAAAATAAATAAAAATAATTTATATATAATAAAATTAACTATCTAAATAAAATAATTTTTCAATCTATTTTAATGATTACATAATAAAAAAAAGTAAAAATATTATATAAATATAAAAATTTAATTAGTTGAATTTTTAAATTATTAGATAATTAAAAAAAAACTTTTTTTTAATTATTTCTTCAAAAAAAAATATTTATTCTTTAGGTGTTGTTTTTTATTTATATAATACTAAAAATAAATTCAATTAACTAATTTACAATGTCTTATTAGGGCAATACTATTTATATTATTTTTTTTTTTTTAATTAGCTATTATAATAATAATAACGCATTTCAAATAAATATATAATTACAATTTATTTATGGAAAAAAAAATTTATTTTATTAATAAATTAATTTGATAATTATTACATAAATATATTATTTTCTATTCAATATTAGTAGATATATTAATAATATATTATTGTTTAATAAATATATAACAATTGTCAATGAATAAATAAATATAATAATAATAAAGTAATAAAATATTATTTATTTTATTTTTTTTTGAATAATTATTATTGCAATTAAAACTCATTTAAATACTACAAAAAATAATGCATTTTTTAAATTTAATTATCAATAAAAATACTATTACTAAAAATATTATTATTATTATTATTATACAGTATTAGTAATACATAGTACATGTACTGTAATCTAAATATTAAATAGTGTATCAAAATTGACATTAACTTTAAATAGCAATAATAATAATAATAATAATACTTATAATATTGAGTTCAAATATACATAATTTAGTTATACTGTACTAATAATTATTATATAGTTTTATATTATTGTATTAAAAACCCATTAACATTGGACAGTCTAAATGAATTATTAATCAAATCAAACATTAATTTTATTTTTATATAAATATAGTTTATATATTTTATGCAATTATTATTATTATTACTATAAAGTGGTTTTAATTGTAAATTTTTTGTGTAATATATTAAAGTTGCAAATAATATGTAATTTTTTTAATACATAGTTTTATACACTATTACTAAATATTAAAAATATTTTATCTCTCTCTCTCTCTCTCTCTCTCTCTCTCTCTCTGATTAAAAGTTTTTATTATAAAATTATTCATAACATACTAAGTATTTATGATTTTTTTTTTAAATTAGTCAAAAAATAAACTCTCAATAATTATAATAAGTTTTTATAATACTAACAAATAAAAGTTACTAAAAAAATAATAATTATAAGATTGAAAATATATTTATTTATTTATTTTTTTTGGTTAATAATTAGAGTTTCAATTAATACTATATTATTATTATTATTTGTATTTGTATTTTATTCAAACAAACAAAACTAAATACAAAACTAAAAAATATTTAATAATAATATAATTGTAAAACAAAAAAAAACTATTTTAAAAAATTTTGTTTTAGCAAAAAAAAAACACTAAATCAATCAATACTATCATCAAACCTAACAAACAATAAGTTACAGGAAAGTCAATACAGGTCACACATACAGGTGCTCTCTATCTATCTTTTAATCATAACTAACAATCGGATGATGACTATTATCATCACCGCATGTATCCACTTCACCAGTGCCTACCAGTTCAATGTCGACAATATCTCTATTGTTTTGATTGTATCGGCGTATGTCTAGCAAGCCTTTGACCGCATATACTACCAGACAAACTGTGGCCACAATTGTATACAAACTTAATGCCCGTATAATAGACGAGTGTCGTCGGCGGCGATGACCACCACTACCAGTGGCCACCACATCACGTTTGACCATCCATTGACGGGCCAGTAGACCGGCGGCCAGCGGTAATAGGATAAACTCGACAGCCCTGACCGCTACGTATCGCCACAGAAATCGGCGGACCGGCCGACGGGCAAACACTGGCCAAACACCAGTATAGGGTCGTTGACAGCTCCAGCATATCGATGATTGTTTGCCAAGGATTAGCTGCCGTAGACAGTGTAGATGTGCTGCCCGAGCCGATCGACATATACACGGTTCGAGTACCTGACCATCGGATTTGCGGCACAGGTAGCATACGATAGTCTCGTTGAATGTGGCATCAAAACTGGCCCGACTTGAGAATGTACTCCGTATGGGTGTGACTGTCATATCCCAGTCCTCCTCTCCCCTCCCGATGGTAGCAGTAGTGGTGGTGGTAATCAAATGGGTGGGTGAGTGTGGGGGGTGGGAAACCGGTAGGTTTTTTTGTTGTGCGGTTAGATAGTAGTAGTAGTTGTTGTAGTGATAATAACCGTTTTTATTTTAATTATTATTATTATATTATTAATTAATATCTATTGATGTATGTATTGTCTATTGTAATGATAATTATTTATTTTTTAAAATATAAATTAATTATTTATATATATTTTTTTTTGAATGATAAAAGTGCGCGCAAATAATTAAAAAACAATTATTATGTAATTTTTTTTATTAGTATTATTTTTTTTTTAATTAAATTATGATATTTGTTGACTATTTATGAAATTACGATTATCATATCGTGTTATTGTAGATAATGTATTAGTTTTTTTAATTAAAAAATATATTATTTAAATCTACACATATAATATTTTTTAAAAAGCAAATAAAATAAACAACAAATTAAAAAAAAACTTATAAATATTTATATAATTTTTTGTTATCAATAATTATTAATAATTATTTTTTTAATTGAAATTATCAGATAAATTTTTGTTTTGTTTTTTTAAATATATTCACTATATATAATACATATATGTTTCATTATATTATATGCAATTAATGAAATTTATTGTACAATATATATTATATTCAATAATATTTTTTATGATAACGATTATTATACTATTATTATTATTATTATTATTAATACAGTATTGTTATTAATACTACTAACTAAAGGGTGGAGTTATATCATTAGTATTGCATTCAACAACAAAAAAAAATCAATTAAATTCAATTTCAATTTCAATTGAAATCTATGCATACAATTTGAAACTAAATTTGAAAACAATATAATGTTTAAAACTTATACTACTGTATAATATATACAATATTTAATGATATAACTAACTAAATGGGTATTTAGTTAACTGATCTTAACGTAACACTGATCTTAAATTTAAATATATTAAAATTTAAATAAATATAATTAAATTATTATTAGTATCTAATACACTAATTATAAAGCATAGATTAAAACTAATAAAATACTATAAATTATTATTAAAGTATATAATAAAATAGATATTAAAGAGAGAGAGAGAGAGAGAGAGAGAGAGAGAGAGAGAGAGAGAGAGAGAGAGAGAGAGAGAGAGAGAGAGAGAGAGAGAGAGAGAGAGAGAGAGAGAGAGAGAGAGAGAGAGAGAGAGAGAGAGAGAGAGAGAGAGAGAGAGACTAGTCTAAAAAATTAAGTTTAAACTCTATGTCTAAACAAATATGATTTGAATTTCAGTTTTATTTTGTAATATTTTTTTTAATTACTATTTTTCCAATGAAAACCATGTTTTTTGTGTTTAGTATTTCTAAGTATTTCTATCTACTTTATTAAACTATCATATTATTATTAATGCTAATGTACAAATTAGTTATCAATACAATCAGTAGTATATGAGTTCCCATACCTACCGGTGCAACATACAAAACACACTCACTCACACACACACATATATATACACACACTCACACACACACATACATACACACACATACATACACATAAATATATACACCACACACACACACAATCACACTCACACACACACACATATATATATATATATATATATATACATACATACACGTGTGTGTTTAACTGTCGGTCAATTGCTTATATATGTTATTATGCAGTGTATCTAAAACATATAATTTAGTATATTATATATATATATATATATATATATATATATATATATATATATATATATATATATATATATGTTTAATAATTWGTGGCCTAATTTGTTAGACACAATAATTTCAATGTCATTATTATTATTACAATATATTCTCAATTATTGGTTTTTGTTAATTACAGAATATTCTTGTATTAATACTATACTAAATGTCTCTTAACTTCACTGGTAGTTAACATCATTGGGATCGTAGTAGTAATGATTGTTTTTATCAAACAATATAATAATATTAGTAATAATATAAATATAAGTAATAATAATAATAATAATCACAATAATAAATGACAAAACATCTTAATCTAAGCCAACTGTCCGAAGACTACATAGCAGTTCAACAGCCGTTTAGAGGTATATATATATCCAGTCATTCATACCATAAATATAATCATAATTATCATTAGATATATAGTAATAGTAATAATATCAGTAAATATATATTGAAAAAATTATTATTATTATTATTATTATTGATATATTATTGGAGAAAATATAATAATTAACATTATTTTCAAAATATATAGTAATAATTATTTTCATTTATCATTGATATACTCTATTGTATTAAATGCTATATAAAAAAAACTACAATAAACTTAATAAAACTATTGTATATCTAAAAACTATTGGGTATTATATACTAACAATTAATAGGACGGTCGGCATCACAGGTACTACAAAAGGATACCGTTTTGAATACAATAGTCGTATGGACTAAACGCCAGACAATGAGGTGTCGGTTGAGGTGTTGCTACTCGTGTATGGATCTAAGTCATGGTTTTAGACAATCATTGGTCGGCAGTGGCAGCGGTAACGGTAACAAAGTGGCCGATTCGGCAACCATTGATAAGGTCGGGACATTTGCCAGTGAACGGCTCAGAGCCCGTCAAAACAGATGGCAAATGTGGCGCCGATTTTTCAGTCGGCCGATGGCCAACAAACACGAGGATGTTATGACCAAAAAAGAGGTTTTTATTTTTATTTTGTTTGTTTGTTTGTCTATCAAAAAATGATAGCTAACTGTCCATTCAATCAACCAATCAAATAGAGTGCAACAAATGCCAAGTCGGCCGCAGCCGTGTCGGGAGTCAAGAGACGTAATGCCGGCATATTTATGGCCGACTATGACGAGGAACTGACCACCACTGCTGCTACCGATGATGATCGGGATCATCGGACGACCACTACTACTACTGCTACCGATAGGACCGGTAGGCGTAATGAGGGTTCGCTAGAGTTGTACGACTTGGAGACGGATGGCAACAACGGCGATGATGTCGACAGCGGACACTACGATGATATGAACCGTACGATGACTACTACTACTACTACTACTACAACAACAACAAACAAATATGACAAATACATGGATAAGCCGTGAATTTTTTGGTTTTCAATTGGATTTTTTTTGATGGTTTGATATCCGACTCTAGACTACTACTAGACTACTGGATGTTTGATGTCTTCAAATATTATATGAAGTTTTTAATTGAATTGAATTTGAAATTTTGATGAAATTTTTTGTTTGTTTGTTTGTTTGGATGAATTGAATTGTTTGTTGTAAACTAAACAACAACAACAAAAATTGTGATAAATATACAGTCAATGGATTTCAAGTAAAATTTATTATATAATTAATTAATTAATTTACTGATAAATAATTAATTGTTTGATTGAATTGAATTGAATTGATTGTGAAAATAGATTACAATTTATTTTATTAAATATATATATAAATAATAAATTTTAGAAAATTTTATTTTATTTTTTATGTATATAAATATAGTAACAGTAATGAAATATTTTTGTGTAAATATTATATTTAAAAAATTATTTTTTTAGCTAAATATGCGGGTTATATTAAAAGTTTTTAAAAATATCAAGCACATTTTTGTAAAATATTAAATTTAATAGAAAATAAATAATAATTAGTAACAAAATAACTATTATATTAATATATTTTTAAGGAAAAAAATATTAAGTGTTTTTAATAAAACATAATAATCATAATTATTACATATCTAATAATAATAATAATAATAATTATTATTATTACAGAATAATATCAATACATAAATAAAATATTATAGATTTTAATTTTTTTTAAATATAGATTTATTTATAAATTTACATAATCTATATGTGTAACAAAAGTTAAAAATTTTGCATTTATTTTAATACTACTAAAAATTATTTAGTTTTATTATATTAATAGATAAATATTATTTTTAAACAATATTTACTGTATTTTTTCAAAATTATTAATAAAATCATTAAATAAAATTAGCGCGTATTCATTACAATAATAATTATCATTATTATCATTAAATAATTAGTTAATAAAATTAGTTAATTATTAGCATGATTTTTAAATAATAATAATAATAATAGTAAATAATAAATACGTTAAACATTAATAGTCTATTTACTTATTATGACTATTACTACTGTATATATGATTAATATAGATATTGATTACTATATTAATATACATTAATAATAATTATTTTTTAAAAAAACATAATATCACAGAATTTGTTCATAAAAAAATGTTTAATCAATTGATTTGCATTTATTTTAATAATTATATATTACAATTGATAACATATAATGTATTGTTTGGTTTAGTATTATCATCCAATGATGATTTCTGTATGGATGACAACGATTTAATCAATATATTTTCAATGGCTAACTATAATTATGTACGAAAAGATAGTCTAATCTATAGGCAAGTAGTGGACAGTAAGTTTAAGGGACAGTCAGGTAAGATAGCGGACATCTATTGGCGATCGGGAAGTATGTATTGTATTGTGTTATTACAAAAAAAATTACACACAAATAGTTATTTCTGTCTCTCTCTCTGTCTCTCTCTCTCTGTCTCTCTCTCTCTCTCTCTCTCTCTCTCTCTCTGTCTCTCTCTCTGTCTCTCTCTCTGTCTCTCTCTCTCTCTRTCTCTCTCTCTGTCTCTCTCTCTGTCTCTCTCTCTGTCTCTCTCTCTGTCTCTCTCTCTGTCTCTCTCTCTSTCTCTCTCTSTCTCTCTCTGTCTCTCTCTGTCTCTCTCTGTCTCTCTGTCTAACTATATATATATATAAACATTAATACTTATCTGTAATACATATAAAAGAGTTTCTGACGGTCAGCACCGGTATCTTATTCAATAAACTGCCCGATAGTTGTCGGACTACTAAAACCAGTGCCGATAATAATAATAATAATAATAATAATAATGATTGCAATAAGTTGGACAACATGTCGTTTATTATTGGCCGTCGGCAATCATCATTATCGGTAGCCGGCAATACGGCCACCACCACCACCGCCATCACCGATCAGTCGTACGTAGCCTATCGTTGGTTTAATTTGTCGGGCATATGGACTTTCCTGTCAATTGTCGGCAACTCCGATATGCCCTATTCGTTGGCCAACGAATCGTTGGCAATACAGTCGGCCAATGATCACATGAAACGATCACAATTTTGGCCAATAACGGCCAACGATCGTACCGTATATTTGGGATCAACCTATTTGGACGATTCATATCAGATTGTACACTATGTTTTAGTTAACGGTAAATCACGGGTCTATTGGACAACACTGGTCGGCGGCGGCAGCGGCGGCGGCGGTGGTGATGGACAACAGTCACCAATCAAATGGCAGTCAACTGAAGCCAAATTAGGTAACAGTTCGGCCAATGATCTTATGTTTCGCGGTTTTTTTCGCTACAATCAAACGGCTACCTATGCTCTGGCCTCAGTACAGCCGTCAGTGGCCAACCAATATCAGGTTTTCCTATATCAGGGAAACGGTAGCTTTGAATACATGGTTTGTTTTGTTGTGTTTTTCGTTGGTTTATATAATAAGTATTTTATTTTAGGCTGACTTTGATATGAATGAACATGTGTTTGGTTGTCCTCCACGACTACCACTGTCCACCACAACAACAACACCGTTGGTGACCACCACTACCATAGCCGATGACAATGACGGCAACGGCAACCATAGTCTACCTGTTTGGTTGATAATTGCCGTAATAGTCAGTATATTAGCACTGGTATTAGCTGTTGTGGCACTGGTAGCTGTTTATATGTTTTATTTGTTAGTATTTAATATTTTTTTTTTAAAAAAATAAGTTATTGAATTAATATCTAAATTTTATTTTGTTTAATTTTTATTTTTTATTTTAATATTTTTTTTAGGCCAAACAAAAAACAAATCTACAAAATCAATACAAATCATCGATAACTTAATTGTCCGATAATTACTATATTAAATATATATACTGTATATATTGTAGTTTTAATAATAATATTAATTTTTATTTTATTTTATTGTTTTTAATTTAATTTGGAAAAATTTAGTAATTTATATTTATATTGTAATAAATTAATTTTATTTTAAAAAAAACTCATTTTATTATTATTTAATTAATGATAATATATTGTTACTGTTATTTATACCGTTTGATAATATAATATTTTTTTTTATACATATAATATAAACTACTAAACTTTAATTAATGTTATAACAAAAAATTAATAAACTAATATAATTAATATTATAAGTATAATATATAAAAATTAATTATTAAACTATTTATAGATTACAAATTTAGTTATAATATGATAATTGGCATAATAAATGTATATTTTAAAAAAATATACAATTATTTCAGTTAATTATATTTAAATAACTAATTAGCAATAATTATTTTAATTTAGTTTATTCAAGTTCAATAAGCTTATATTAATTAAAATAATATATAAAGTAATAATAATAATAATAATAATGTCATCTATAAATATCTAAGATTAAAATAATAATTAACATAATATTAATTGTTAAATGCATTTATTGTAGTTAATAACTTACTAAATTAATTTATATAAAATATAAAAAAAATTTTATCAAAAATTAAAAATATAAAATAACTATAGTTTTTTATATTACAGTACTAATATATATATATATAATAATAATAATTAATTTAATTCAATTTATAATTTATTTTTCATAATATGCTATCTTATAATAATTATTATTATTATTTTGAAATGAAAATATTACCATATTTTTCACCTAATAAACTATTACCGCCAGATATGGTATACAAGTGGTCGGCCTATCATTTATACCGAATCGGCTTAAGTAACCGTCGATTAGTAGCCGTAATCGCCGATGATTGTTATCCACATAGACTATGGTTTAATCGACCGATAATTATATTAATTGTTTCAATGATTTATATCATTGAACACATAACATGTTTATACATTGATACAGACAATTGGCTACTGTTTGCACTGTTAGGTGATTGGGGATACTTTTTGGGTAAAATTAAATATTCAAATATATTTTCATCATTGATGTTAGTATTGGTTATATTATCAGAGTTAGTCTATTTTTATAACTATATGTCGGGTATTGAACCCAAATTTTTGCGGGTATTTGAAATGATGTCCGGTTTTCGGTGGACACCCCTCAGTGTTGGTCTAACCGATCCCTTGGAGATCCAGAAGCTTATCAAACGGATGCGCTGGTTGTGTCAGTTATGTCTGATTAATAACACATATATAATAACAATATTATTTGCATCGATAGCCATAGCGGGCTATATGTTAAATGTATCGTTAGATTACTGGTTAGTCCTACTAATTGGTTATATACCTAACACTATGATAACAACATTAGGTATCTATTATTTCTATAATTCAATAACCTATCAGTTAATCTACTTTTACATACTGTGCCGCTATATAAAGCACCGGCAGTTTCAATGTTTGCGACAATTACGACAACTATTGATTGAAAAACATCAGACAGCTAATGGTTATAATACTAAACGTATTATTGATTTAATGAAATCAATGGACAAATTGTTTGCCGATATCTCGGACTTCAATCACACTTATTGGTCAAAATTTTTGCTAAATGTTTGGCTAGTTTTCGGTACGGGTATTGTTATCCTATTGCTTATTATAACATTTGTCTCATTGGATATAATACCGAAACTATTTCTAAGCTATTGTCTAATTGTATGTTTGATTGCATTTTTATTTATCATATTTACGGCCGCATCCATCAACTCATGTACTGATAAATCGTTAAAATTATTATACGATTACTATATTAATCATTGATTTTTAGTAAATTTGCTATAAATTTATATTATTTGAAACATATACTATACTCTATATATCAATAGTTTTACTAATAAATAATATATTATTATTTATAATGAAATATTCAAAAGTTATAAAAAAAAATTATTTAATAATAAAATATATTAAATTTTTAAATATTTATATTTTCAATAATAGTATTAATACTGTATAATAATAATAAAATTTATAATAATTATAATATAAAAAGCTATTTAAC